TCTCTCTCTCTCTTATTTCTCTTAAGGAGAAAAAAATGCTTAAACCTCAAAGTACGTGGAACACAAGATTTCAGCCTGAAACACACTCAGTAATGTTTTGGTGATTATTTAATCATCTTGACATTTAGGTTCAATCATCACACACAACTCCTTGAGAATTTGGAAACATTTGCTCTTTTTTTTGGCCAAAGTTACCTGAAAGTATTAGTTACCTGAAATAAACTGCCCCCCCCCCCCCTCCCCAAAATGGGAACAAATTATTTTTTCTAAATATGTTTGTGTAGATCAGCCAAGGTGAATCCACTTTAAATAAGCAGTGACTTAAGAACCGTCCCATGTTTTTTATTTTGTATATGTCCACAGAGGGCCGGCGATGGAGGAGGGGGCGTGCCAAAGAGACCATCTTAGCACCAACATAACTAGTTTGTTCCACTTTGGAGTAAGCTGTTGGGGGAAGAATCACTTTTGTTGTGCGTTTCCTTGACTGATGAAGCCTTCCGGATCGAAGGTGAAATGTTTCTGCACAAAAAAAAAAAAAGAAAGAAACTGTCCAGATGACCTGCCTGAAAAATGTTGCATTGTAAACCTGGATTATTGAGCATGGACTTTGTTGATTCACACCAGCACTTTTTATCACCTGCTGCTGATGGCAAAGGAGCGACAACCTTTTGTCATGGCCTGTGTGTTCGTTTGTCTGTAGCCTGGCGTCAACATCCCATGAAGCACTGATTCAGTTTGCATATAACTTTAAGAAAGTACTCAATGGATGAACATCCTCAAATGATTAACATTTGGTGCCATTCAAGATGGCCGCCACAGCCAAAAGACTTGAGGAAACACAAACATGTCTATAATTAAGCCACTTTTGAATTTATTGTGCTAAAATTGAGGACACAGTAGCGGACAGTCATCTCCGGCATATACTCCAAGCACTACATTAGCACAAGAGTTTTGCTGAAAAACCATTAACCCTGTTTGTGTGTTAGCAAAATACCTTATGAAAAACTGGACCGATTTAAATGAAACTCTCAGAAATTGATCACTTGGTGTACATCAACTGATTAAATTTGGATGTTGCCCCTATTCAAGATGGCTGCCACAGCTAATTAACATTAGCCACATATTGTATATGGCTAATTCATTGACAATGACATCATTCTGACATTTAACACAGTGTGATCTGATTTAGTATTTCATTGTTTCTGATTGCGTTTTTATTCCCGATGCTGTAATTATTGTATATCTTATTTTTTATTTGATGCGGTGATCTTTTTGTTAAGCACATTGGTAACAGTTCCTGTTTTAAACATGCTTTATAAATAAATCTGACTTGACATGAACTTGACATCAGTTTTACAGCTATTGAGCTAAAATGTAGCGTGGTGGTAGCGGAGTCATTTCCAGCACTTACTGGGAGTACTATCATTGCACGACACCTCTGCTTGAAGCATTACCTCATAGTCAGCAATGCTTGTTAGCTAAATATCTCATGAAGGATGAATTTTGATAAAAAGTTCAGACAGTTCACTGGTAGGAGGCCCCGGAGGTTGCTGGAGGTTGTATGAATCTTCTCTGGCCAAGAAACACTTTAGGATCCCCCAGGATGAGCTGGAAAGTGGGAGAAGGATTTTTGGGGTTTTCTCCTGGATCCATTCCCTCAGGGATCTGACTACAGATAAGACTAGAAGATGAAGATGGAGACTTTCAGACAGTAATCACTGGATAAACATGACTGACATTTGGAGTCCACTCAATTCAAGATGGCCACCACAGCTAATATTCCTCTGCTACATAAAAATGGCTTTAACTTAAAGTAGTTTAGAGTTATCCTCGACACATACTCTGAGCATCAACACATCTCACAATATGTGGCGGCAATCGTGAATTAAAACAGTCATGAAAGGCAGTGAGGGGTTTATTCAGGGATTGTTGGGCATTTTATGTGTGATTATATTTCCTAATTCTTGGGGGAAAAATACTACATAAAAAAACCCATTTACTTGTAATACCATTCACATGATCTCAACTTAATGTCAAAGACAACAGCATTATGTTTGATTTGTTGTTGCACAGCGACCTCTAGAGGCAGAACACTTTATAGCCACATTTGAACAACTTTACTTTGTTTTAGTTTACTTCTTGTTTATGCATTTTCAGAAATTATACACAGAAATATTGTTCATTTTTAAAGATGCATTGCACCAGATTTAGCTGCTAGTTCATTTCTAGCAACAACAACAAAAGAAAATCAGCATCTCTGATGAATCTAATACAGTACATCTGTATTGCCTGCTGATGAAGGTAATTTTAACGAGGCCAAGTCAGGTCACCTGAACGGATTCCAATTTTGTTGAAACATTTTGTCTTTTATCCAAAATATTTTTTCAGTCTAAGGAGCTGCAAAAAACTCAGTCGGGCTGCTGTTGATACGCCGTATTTTTTTACATTATTAATGTTTAGTGTACATCTTGGATTTTTAGCATACCATTTGGTGTTCGTTTAGCGTATATCTTAGATCTTTATATACTGTTTCTTAATTACACTTTATATTTTTGGATGTAACTGGGACAAATACACAATTTCGTTCCACCTCAGGTACCACATGTGATGAAAATGAAGAACCTTAAACCTTGAATAACAGTACTGTAAAAGGGTGACAGTTGAACACGGAGGCCTCCGCCCCTGTTCAAAGATGAACAGCGTCTCTTCACAAAGATAGCTTCCTTTACTCCTCTCTCTCCTCTCTCTTGCAGCTCCTCAAACTGAAGATTTTTTTTTTTTTTGGATAAAAAACTAAATATTTCAACAAAGACGAATCCGTCCAGAGGACCTGACTAGGGCTGGACAATGTATCGAATTTACTTGATATATCGCAAGTTGTTCAATTTACCATGGTTGAAATGGCTCTATTGCAACCATCGAGCATTGTTAGACTTGAAAATCTGTGTAGTTCTTTTTCTCCTGTCTGCACCAACTTCACGGGGCCCCTCCTTCTCCCTCACTGAATACAAACAGCCCCTCACGTGGTGCTTCACACACGCTTACTAACGTTGTGAAGGCGGCATAGCTGAAGAGGATCGTTATTTAATATATGTAAATAATTCATTTTTTTAGACATTTATTTTGTACAGTTACAGCTGTTTAATAATAAATGTGCCTGTGTGACAACTGGGACAAAGCTTTGACTAGGAAATATATTTTTATTATTATTTTATGGAAAGAAAAAATACTGAAATATAGATATCGCATATTGTGATTTATCTTAAAAATATCGATATATTAATTTTGGTCCATATCGCCCAGAGACACACCTGACTCAACCTTGTTAAGTTTATCTACCTGGATTACTGAGTTTGCATCAGGACATGGTGAAGGTAATGTTTTTGCATGGGTTTTCGTTTTACTGTAGTGTCAGCAAAATATCACATGAACCAGTGGATGGATGAAGCTTTCATGAAGTATCAAAGTTCATGCTCAATAATCCAGATAGAAAATCCAACAAAGTTCACTCAGGTCATCTGGACGGTTTCATTTTTCTGTTGAGACATTTCATCCTTCATCCAAAGGACTTCATCAATCCGAGGAGTCAAAAACAAACTCAGTCCCACAAGCAGCACAACCACATAGTGGACCAACCAGTTTGATGGTGATAAGATGGCTTCTGGGACCCGCCCTCTCCCCCGTCGACTCCTCTGAGGCTGCCACAGCCAAAGTGGTTCAAAACATCAAAGTTCATGCTCAGTAATCCAGGTAGAAAATCCAATAAATTTGTGTGGGGGTGCTGCTTGTGGGACTCAGTTTGTTTGTGGCTCCTCAGATTGATGAAGTCCTTTGGATGAAGGACGAAACGTCTCAACAGCAACAAAAAGAAACAGTCCAGATGACCTGACTGAACATTGTTGGGCTTTCATTACGTAATTTACGAATGTAGATCTACATCTTAACTTGTGGAGTCCCCCTAATTAAAGATACTGTAGCTGCTACAGCTAATTACCCTTAGCCAACACAAAAAAACTGTGTTTTAGAGATTTTGAGCTAAATTTGGTGGTAGTAGCCGAGAATCATCCTCCAAACACACTTGAAACTCTAACAGTTCATGTGAGACCTCATAATGTCTCATAAGATTGTGCACAATGTAGTTGACAAAGTTTGACCAGACGACTATAAATACGGTGATCTACCATCATGACAGGCAGTGGATGATATGGATTTTATTCAAGGAATGCCGACCTATTAAGAACTGGGGAGGTTTGATGACAAATGTTCAAGAAAGACATCTTATCCTTTAAGTTTAGACAAATACAGTATTTCCTTTCTAACAATACACATGCAACAAAAAAAATCATTTACTTACTAATGAAATCAGTTGCCTAATTTGAAAGTTGTAAAACAACCAAGTATAATTTAATTTATCTTGAAAGACTGCATTCCCTCACATGTTGATATTATCATCATAAATAATTGATCAATAATCAGGGTTAAAAGGCAAGAAAAAGGAAAATTGATTTTGTGTAACATTTTATTGGCATTGTAAATTTGTGCAGACATGTACACAAACTCAATCATCCAATATCAGGTAATGTATTTTTTTAAATAAACATGAGGGTATGTCAACATAGTATTTTCAAGTTTTTAGAAGTTTCTGAAAAATAAAAGCACATTAGTAAATCAATCAACCTACAGATGCATCATTCCTGTGCATCACTGTAGGCACATTATGTTTCTATCTTATTTATATATAAAACATTAGGCCTGCACAAACATCTTAAAGAAAAGTGCCACTCACATGTATTTTCAATGCTCTCAAACTAAATATCATTTCATCAAAAGCAGTCCAGCACAGAAAATAGCAGCAGCAAATAAACAACAACCAAAGAATTGCCGTCTTTAGTTGCAAAGTTAAACTCAAATAACATTACAGGCTAACATTAGACACCCCCTTTATAAACTGGGTATTTTAAACCCAACAGGCTCCAGGAAGGCGGCCTCTGCCCTCTATTTCAGGACCTATTCCCCCCTGTCGTGGGCATGTTAGGGGGATGCTTGTGGTAATAGTCTGGTGGAGTGGGATTTGGGCTTACATTTATCCCTGTGGGGACATAATATCTATTCTCCAGGTAGCTGTGGTCCAATGGGGGATGATTTGGGGGATCTGGCTTGGATCCTTGACAAGGATTCCTGTAGCCAACACCAGGTCTGTTTGGGTGCATAGTTGCTGCAGCAGAGGCTTCAAGATATTGGGGTGGCTGAGCCTGAGGGTGGGCTAATGGAGGAGGAGCTGCACAGGGCATGTACTGTGGAGCAGGGGCGTACATGTTGGGGTTGTGGAGGGGTGGGAAGGGGGCTGCAGAAGGAGGATACAGACCAGAATGGGACATTGCCTGCTGTGGGATAAGCACCTCCACATACTGGCCGGTCTCTGGATCAAACAGCATTTTTCTTAGTGGTTGTACAGGCACCTCAATAAAAAAATATTTTCCTGTTTCAGGATCTAGAAGGACTCTGCGGGGCGTCTGTCCGAAGCTACTTTCTGAATACAAACTAGAGCTATCACCTCCATATTCAGAGCCGTAAGAAGATCCCATGGTCTGAGGGCCACACATGTACTGAGGATCGATAGGAGGTAGGCCAGGAGAGTGGCTGTGGCCAGGATCGCTATAAGGAGCCCCAGCAATGTTTGGTGATTGCTGATGGGGAGATCTGTGAACTGGAGGCCGTCGAGGGCCAATGTGTTGGGGGGGTTGCATTGACCGATCAGCAGGACAGGCCTGCATGAGTGAGGGGTGGGGAGGGCAGGGAGCAGACTGATGGAGAGGCTGGTACATGGGTTGGTTTGGACCAAGAGGGCTTGATTTTGGAGAGCCTGGTTGATAACTTGTTGGCTGCGGATCATGTCTGTACTTGAGAGGATGTTGAGGGGGCTGGCTCACTTGGTAAGAAGAATGTGTTGGACCAGGTGGAGTAAAGTTATGGGGGCTGCGATGATGATGAGGAGATGTATGACCAGAGTGAGGGGGGATCCCAGCTGTGCAGGGGCAGGGAGGAGGGCGGGATGAGGGCTGATAGCGATTTGATCTCAGGGGAGTCAAATCTGGGAGCAAAAGTGGACTGAAGCTCTCTCTTTCATCATAACTTGGAGGATCATCTGAGGCATAAAAATGAAGATTATCTAATCTTCGGGCATGCTCGCTGGAGACTGATCTGCCATATGGTTGATGCGTGTAGCTTTGTTCTTGCACTGGGGAAACACCAGTGAGTTGGTTTGTATTTAAAGTACCAGGCAGAGCTTGCTCAAGATGACAAGTTCCCTTGAGAAACTGGAGAGGACTGTCTGAATCTGCGGCAGCTGATTGGCTGGCTTCTGATGGGAGAACCCCAGGGATCTGGTTTGGTTTGGGGTCTGAACTTGAATCTGAAGCTGATGTTACATCTAAGCTAGCAGCTGGTGTTGTAGTTAAGGATGCAGTTTTTGGTGCAGTTCTTGGGCTCTGAGGGGAAGCAGCAGATTGTTGGTGCTGAACTCTGTCAGTAGATGCCTCTGTGTCCGATGATGTTTTAGGCTGGCTTGTTGGGGTGGAGATGGTGGTTGCTGTTGGTCTGTGAGGAGGAGGCTTAAGGCTCGACACCGCAGACACAGTCAGTTTTTTTGAATAGTTTGATGTCGCCATGGACTCATTAGAAATCTTCCTATAGATTGTGGGGGAGCTTACTACAATTGTTTGAGGCCTCTCCTCAACCTGTGGTTTTCCAGATGACGATGATGTTGCAGATGTTCTCTGCGTGTCGTTTAGTAAGTTTCCTAAATCTGCAGGTCTAAATTTGCAGTTAGGTTTAGGAGGAACAGCTGGTTTTTGAGAATTTTTAGCAATAGATCTCACCTCAATGGTTTGAGGCCTGTTGTTTCCTGTCAAGTTTGTGAGCATTTCTTGCTTCGGTGCTTCTTTAGACAACAATTTTACCTCAACTGGCTTTGGTTTAAATTTTCTTATAGCGGGGGACCTTGGAGGGAAAGTTGGATCTATTCTTTTAACTGCTTCAAAATCCCCCGTGTCTTTTTGTTTGGCGGGAGAAGGGATTGGCTCCAGTGAAGTTATTTTTTGCTTTGCAGTATCCTGAGGTTTAACAATAACCCCTTCACCTTCTTTAGATTTTGTGACAATGTTGGTGTTGTCAGTCACTGATGAGGGTCCGGAGGTGGTAGACGAAGAAAATGTCTCGTCTCTGTGAGACTTAAGCAAACCTTCATCTGAAGGAGGAATGGACTGAAGGGGGATCTTTAGACTGTTCACATGCTTAGGAGGAACCCCCATAAGTCCAGCTGAGCTCTGATTGTCTGAGACCACTGCTCCAATGTCAGCTTGATAACCTTTTTCCTTTAATAGCATGGAAACTGAGTGGCCACCAGTACCAGATGTGCTGCTAGGGGTAAAAGGCCCAGGTGAAAGTGATGCAGGTGCTGATGCCTGGATTGAGGGAAGAGCCTCTTCTTTATTTGAAGATACCAACACATTGCTTTTATTTTGCTTTTCTCTTATTAACACGACAGCAGTGGACACCTCTCTTTCCTTGCTTGGAAGTTTAGAGAGGCTTTCAAGCATGGGAGGCTTTTGATCGGTTTTTGTCATCACAGGGTTCTCCTCGCTGACTGGCTCTTTATGGGTTTTTGAAATGTTTTTTTGCATTTCTGCTGTAATATTAAAATTGTGTTCACAAAGCTTGTGAACCTCTTTGTTTTCTGTTGTCTGGTTTGCAGAGTCTGGATTTGAGGACTGGAGTTCCTCAAACTCTTTGCTCAAATACTTGAAAGATTCTTGGGGTTTGTCACTTAAATCACCCTGGATGCTTGACCTTTTATTTTTGTCATCTTTCCAGCACACAGCTTTATATTCTATTTGCATTATCTGTGGACTAGACAGAGAACTTCCTTTGTTCTGAGGTAAGATTTGCAAGTTTGGATCTTTTTCAGCCTCTTTTTGTTCCTTGTTCTTCTCCATCCAGATTGTTTTTTCTTTGTTCTCCCGCTTTTCTTCTATCTTTATCTCCTGTGTTGCATCCCTTTCATCTGCTGCTGAGACCTCTTCCCTCCTTTCTTCATTAAAATTTTCCATCTTCTCGTCATTCACATTTGATGAGTGTACAGCTGTAGCTGCCTTGAAGGATAGGCTGTATGTATTTTTCACAAGCTGCCTCACATCTCTAACTTTGTGCATGGGAGCTTTAGTTGGATTATCTTCATGCCCTTCATCCTCAGTTTTCTCCTCTACATGGGTCTCAGTCTTTTCCTCATTTTGCCTGTTAGACACACCTGGTGAAAAAGGTTTGTTTTCTGTCTCGGGTGTGAGACAGACATTTAGTGAGGCTTTCTTTTTTTCCACGGATTTGACTGTAATCTCCTGTGTTCTAGATGTACCTTTGTCACCCTGCAACACTTGTTTATGGGGCTCTGTGTTTTCACATTCCTGGTCTCTGTTTGTCACTCTTGCTTGTGTGTCAGTGGCTTCACTGGCAGAAGACGCTCCTGTGTCCCAAGCAGTGGCATTTGCTGAGTTAATTGCCTCCCTTCCGGGAGTTAGCTCTGATCCACACTCAAATTCCAAGTTTAATTCAGATTTTACCTCAGATTCAGACAATTTTGCACTCCTCCTGTGAGAAACATCTTCCCCGATGTCAGTCAGGGAAAAAGTAACACTTCTGCCACTGCTGGATGAACTTGGCCTGGTATTACATCTCACTCCATAGCTTTTAGGCAGTTTGGTTTGTTCGTTTGTGCTTGACTCGCCTCTCACAGAAACTCCCTCGGATGATAGGCTATAATCTGACTGAAGACTAGAACTCAAATCACGTGAGTCAGGTTTCGGAGACTCTTTAAGTGGTGCCACCACGCTCCCTGATGACAGACTTGCTTCTTCATTTGCTTGCTCATCAGGTTGTCTATCAGTGCTTTGCATCTTCTTTGACAACACATTCTTGATAAGGCATGAAGCCATCTTTGTTTTAGAGTACGTTTCATCCATAGAAGCGGACTTTTGAAATTTGGACTGTCTTATCTTTTGTTGATCAAGTTCAGCACTGCCATCAGAAGTGCGACATTCTTGCATTGCTGCTGGTGTACTATGCTGTCTCATGAAAGTCCCTCTGGAGTGTCCCTCCTGAGAGGGGCTTTCCACCATTGCTGGTACCCCGGGACTGCTGTTTTCACTGCTTTCATCCTGCTTCCCTTCAACAGTATTCTTTCTTTTCAGCTGAATCTGTCTTTTTGGGACTCCTCTTCTCACCCTCCTGCAGTCTTCTCTTTCCACAGCGACATCTATGCATTCAAAGCTCCCCAGTTCATACTGTCGAGATGAATCTAGGCCATCTGAATATTGTGTAGATGGTTGATGGAAGGAGAGTTCATCATGGTCAAGCTTTGGTGCTGAACCTCTGAAGTCGGCATAGGCCATCCAGGCTGCGTTGACCCCAGCTGGGCTCTCCTGAGTGGATGGTTGAGAGATGTTTGTAGAGGAACAGTGACTTGAGTTGTACATGTCAAGGTAATCTATTTCAGGGCTCGACAGTCTGCGGAAAGCCACATCTGTCAGCCACTTCACCTCATTGTCTGCTTCATCAAGTTCACTTCCCATGCTGGAGCTGGAGCTCTGACACGGCCTGTTTGTAGCCAATCGTCGAGGAGCCCTTTTCCTGTCCTGGGATGCAGGTTGAAGTTTTCTGCTGGTGCTCCCGCCCAGGGTGTCTTGTTGAGAGGGAAGTTTAGGTAGACTTTGTTGTTGCTGTAGTTGTCTTGTCACAAGCAGGCTCTCTGGATAAGAATGTGCTGTTGGCAGTCCCTGACTTGCCTCTCTGCTTGTGGGACCTGCACTGTGACTCGCAGGTCCTTTTCTATTCCTGGCACTGAATGACAGCTCAGCCTGTTCCCCTCTGTAACTGGCAGCTCCCTGCCACCCCGCCTCTCTTTCTGGAGCATGCTCCTCCTCCATCTCTCTGTTCATCCCCCCGTCCATACCTAAATCTCTTTCTTGCTCCAGTGACATTTTCCTGTCCATCTCCATTTGCTTTCTTAGCTGGATCCAATGGGCCTGGCTAGTCGTGTCAGCAAGGTCAGCATTGGGGCTATCCCTATTTGTCACTTCTTGCTTTAAATTACTACTCGGTTTGGAGGCTAAAGCTTGAGAGGGGCTTTTCCTCTGCCATTGTCTGTATGGTTTTTCCGGGGCTATAATGTGGACAGGTGTAAACCTGATAAGGGGAGGAGACGGAGTCTGCCGTCTGTGGTGAGACATGTCCTGTGTGAGTCTCGCTTTGTCTTCACATTTAACTTTAGTTAACAGCTGTCTTTTTGGACTCTCAGGCGTGCCAACCCATTTTGGTGAATAAACATTGTTATTAAAATTAAAGGAAGGAGAAGTGAATTCAGGATGGAGATTTTGACAAGGAGAGTTGAATATAACTCTGTTGACAGGTGAAATATTTGGATTGCTCTCCTCAGGGGCTCTTGGATTAGGTGAAGCAGGTTTTACTTCTTTCTCAAAAGATGGGGAGTGGGTGTCTTGATTCCTGTCTTCTGGGGCTCTGGGATTAGGGGATGCAGATTTGATGGTTTCTTTCTCAAAAAAGGGGGAGTGGATGTTTTGATTCCTTTCTAGAAATGCTCTAAGATTAGGAGAAGCAGACTTGACTTCTTTCTCAAAAAAAGGAGAATGGATGTCTTGATTCCTATCTTCTGGAGATCTAAGATTAGGGGAAGCAAACTTGATGACTTCCTCTTGAAAAACAGGAGAATGATTGTCTTGTTTTTCCTCAATGGAGGAAACTACACTTAATCTATCCCAAATGCAAGCTTCCTTTATCGTTTCGTCTCTTTCTGTGGTTTGTTGTATCAGTGAGCTGTCTGAAATTTTATCTGATAATTCAGATATAGGTGAATGAATTGCCTCTACTGGTGAGTTGTTTGGAAGTTCAATCACAGCTTTTCTCTCTCTCCTGTATAAATCAAACAAGGGTGGCACACTGTTGTTTTCCAGATGTGTGAGGGACTGTGTTTCTGTTGTATCTGCTGTAACAGAATCTGCTTTAATCTCAGGTGTACTTCTTACAGAAGTCGGTTTTGTATACAGTGGATTATATTCCGTGGAGAGGGTTGCTGGTGATTGCTGGTACCTCTGCACAGAAAGAGATGCTTCAGGTGATGGATCTCGACTTCTGTGCTGAGATGAAGGACTTTTTAACTTGTCGAATGTTGTAATTAGATCTCTTGGTTCAGGTGAAGGGGTGAAAGTATTTGGTTGTGGTGAATGTGTTTGGTTTCTGGATTGTGGCAATAAAAGTGCTTCAGACAGGGAAACAGAGCTCGAGGTTGAGTGTTGCGGGGTACCAGTGGACACAACTACACTGCTGTTTGTACTCTTTTTGTTTATTCCAGAGGACACAAGAGTCCTTTGTCCTTGAAGTTCAGGAAATGGGGGACTGGTCCTGTCCTCTGGCTGAACAACAGAGTAAGAAATCCCTGTGAAATGAGGTGAGGAAGTGAGGCTTCTAGGTGAGGTGGAGCCAAAGTGAGGATCTAGCAGAGGCGATTCTGATCCTGTCTTCAGTGGAGAGAATTTCTCCTTCCTTTTGATCTCAGGTGAGGATGCTGTAATTCTGATCTCAGGTGAGGGAGAAGTATATTTGTCCTCTATGGGAGAGCAGTTGTGCTCTACTGCAGGTGATGGAGATAAACTAACCACAGGTGAAGACACCTGGGTCCCAATTTCAGAAAATGTTAAACTGTTTTGTCTATTAAAAGATGGCTCAGGAGAGGGACTTCTTGACCCAGTGTTACTTGGAGAAGCAGGACTAAGAAGGCTAGGTGAGGTACTTGTATTTTTTAATTCAGGTTTAACAGTGTCCCCAACAAGCTCAGGAGTTGTTAGTACTGAAACAGCAGAAGACGGTGGTGTGTAACAAGGTCCAGGTGTAGAAACTGTACTGCCTGGTTCTACTGAGAACCCAATGTCTGGGCTCTCAGGGATAGTTGCAGTGTCCTTTTCTCCAGTAGAGGAATCTGAAATATGTTCAGTGCTTTGGGCAAAATCTTGGGCAAAACATATATCAGGTGTAGAGCCTCTGCTGAAAAGATCAGGTAGGGACACTCTTCCTCTTAGCTCAGAAAGAGGAGATGATCCTTGAATGTCAGGGGAGGGGGAGCTATTTCCGAAATTTGGGGAGACCAGTACTGCTTCCAAGTAAGATTTAGACTCTAAACCACTGGTTGACGGCAAAGGAGATGAAATAAAAGTTTTAAATTCAAGATCTGAAGCTGTAAAATCCTGAGAAAGAGGTGTGAATTGCGGTGATGGACTACTCTTTTTATGGAAGTCAGTGGCTTTTGGCTCAAACAAGTTTTCTGGAAGTGATGGACTTGGAGATAAAGATTGCGTTGAGGAGCTGCTCTGTGTGTTTTTGAATGAAGGCGTTATTCTCCTCAATTCAGTTTCTGAGTAGCTTTGTTTGAGATTAGGTGATGATGACAAAAGTCTATTTTCAGATGAGGAGGATGACAAAGATGACAGTCTTCCCTCTGGATGTAAGGGACTTGGGCTGTAACATCCAGGAGAGGGTGTCCTCTTACTACAGTTGAGGTCCTGAGATGATGGGGTGACTGATGATGGGGTACCTGCTCTAAGCTGAGGTACTGGTGTGACACCTTTTTGTTCTAAATCTGAACTACCTTTGTCAGAAACCTGTGGGTATTCTGAGCTCAGTTCCTTATCCTCCAATTGCCTCCCGTCTGAAGAGTCGTTTTGCAAAATAGGGCTGTAAAATCCTTCTTTTGACTCTTCAAAGCCCTCCTCTCCCTCACTGGAGCCCTGTGCAGTGTGATAAGAGCCAGAGGAATCGTTCAGCTCATCAAGCTGAGGTGATGCAGCAGTTGTGCCTTCCTCCACCCTCTGGGATGAAACAAAGGCTCCTGCAGAGGGGCTGCTGGAGAGGGACGGCGACTCACGGTCGTCTCCAAAAATGTCGCACAGACAGGTGGTTTCAGAGATGGCACTCCGTTGAGCAGGGACGTTGATAATGTCAAAGATTTCAACGTGGTTTGGGGTGCCGTCACGATGGCACAGGGAAAATGTGCGAGGTGCACTGCGCAGAAAGGAGTAACTGTCCCCCTGAAGAGTCCAGCTGTCCATTGCTATTCCACAAACTCCAAATGGTCACTGTGGCCAGTCCAGGCTGCTCCTCTACTAGGCCTTTGGCTCTGCTCCTGCAAAAAGATATGGTCACCAAGAGGGTGTGTAGCTCATTCATTTATACTGACAGAAGCATTTTATTGAAGTAACTGAACAGTTTACAAATATCAAATATTGAGTTGCATTCTGCCAGTCTTTATGCTTTAATTAATTTTAATCATATTTTAATACCTACAGCTAAAACATCTCTGTCACTATTTCTGAAAAACCTTTGTGAAACAACTTAAAATGAACTCAAGTAAACTTCAAACATTTATTTGACTAATCATGTTAAATTTCATGTCAGATTTTTAGACATTTTATTTTACAAGCTTACAATTTGATGATAAATAAAGTCCAATTCAGTTTGAACTTTAATGTTCTATTGGACTGACAATATACCATGTTAGCCCTCCCCAAGTATAACATCTTTCTAAACTCATTATATGTCAAACTACTGGTAGGTAGAAAAGGAGGACATATGTCTTGTGTAAGAAGAAAAACAAAACATGTAATGTACCGTACCTTTGGCCACTGCTGAAGCGTTCCACAAAATCCCCTCATCCAACAAATGTAATTTCCAGGTTCGAGCAGCTCAGTTCAACTCAGACTGCCAGCACCAGACTGACCTGATAACTCCAGAATGTCAAAGACATCGCCATGTGTCAGGTTTGAGTAGAAGAAGCTAAGAGGAGGAACTAATCCAGACACATAACATCCCCTCGTGCTATCATCTCTATTCCTGCCCTGCCCCTCTGAGCTGGCATCAGGGAAAGCATTTAGTTACAGTAAGTAGCCTGAATCTTTTTTTCTTCTTCTACAGGCTGAGGTTTGAATGGGCATTGGCTTTTCTGTCTGAGCCTGGGCGAGGTACTTCACAAGGGGTGGGTGGGTTTATAGTTAGCAACAGATACTGATCAGGCCTGTGAGTTCGCCTGGAATCTGACACTTACAGCCAGCTCAGTCACATTGCTTCACTATTTATAGACAAACATTATCAGGGCCAGATAGACATTAAGTTTTGTTCTTTGGCTTGGAATACTGGAGGGATAAGAAAGGTTAACTACAGAGTCCAAAGAATGACACATGCATTGACCCCCATTGGTTACAAAATATGTGGCTGTGTTTAACACTGAGGGCATAATTAATCCAACCTTGTGTGTACTTGTATGGCCTTATGTGTGAATGCTAAAAGGTGGTTGGGGAGCAGGTCAAAGGTTAACACAGACCACCCAACTTTACCAGCTCACATGAAATCCAGCAATGCTTGTATGGTAAGGTGCTCATACATATTTTAAGCCATTATTTTCAATAAAGTGTTAACATTGTAGGCTTTAGAGACGTACACAAAGAAAATTCAGTTTTAAATTTGCATTTGGCTAAAATCAGAAGCTTTTGCATGTTTCTATATTAGTGCTACAATAGTACAAGGCTGTGCTGAAGCTGTCTAGACCTGCTTCATAGTGGTAAATTTAGATAAGCCCTCAATCCCCAAGTTAATACCTCATGTCATTACCAATCATTCTTAGGTATCAAGTCATTCAGGGAAACAAAAGCTTCTAATTTTATTAGGTCTCACTGGAAAGATAAGTTATTTTTAAGCATGACAATGCATCGTAGCCCTGCTGTGAACATTTTAAAGTGATAATTCAGACCTTTTAAAGTGGTGTTCTGCGGAAAAGCTCTGAATAAATAATATCTTAACTGCTGTAGAAAGCTTTGAATTACCTAAATTTAGGGAAAGCGGAGTTTAATTCTGACCAGACTGATCACTGGATTTACATCTGCAACCGATTACATTTTTGAGTTAATCCAGTTCAAAAGGACCAGCACAACTAATTGAGTTTAACAAACAGAAAAGCACTCCAACAAAATAAATTTTACAAATATGGAGCTAAGATTTGGCGTGGTAGTGACTGAGAGGCGTCGCTTATACGTCAAGCTTTAACCACAGCTGTGCCGTAAAAGTTGACTGGTCTTAGAAAACACAAGAATGGCTATAACTCAATTTATTTTACAGACATTGAGCAAAAATTTGGTGTGGTAGTAGCTGTGAGTCATTCCTAATACACACTTTAAGTTCTAATCGTTGTGCAACATCAGTAGCTTGGAGTCAACGATGTTTATAGCAACATATTTCATCAAACCATGCATGAATCTTACTGAAACTTTCAGAATGTAATCAATGACTCTCAAGTAGCCGAGAGTCATTCCAAATGCAAGCACATCACACGTAACATTATTTTCAACTTTATAGCTCCATCATTTCTCAGCGTGAAATTATCTTACTTCAAAACTGGCATGAAAAGCAGCAGGAAATATACACACTCCTCTACTGAATACTAGATGTAATTTTGAACATCACTAGTGTCATGATGAGCAGCATTTATGTTAGGATTGGGTTTGATCTCAGTCTTCTGGATCAACATTTTGGTCGGTTTTGAGTGTGAATAGATGAATGAAAACCATTGTAAAACGCTTTTCAAACGCTTAAAAACACTTTTAAAAAGGCGTTTCAGTAGTGTGGCCCATTAATACTTTTAGAGTTTGGTTTTGATAAATGGTGAGGTTTAGTTATTCGATTGTTTTTTCTTGGTCATGGCCTAGAGTTGTTCTAGCCACTAGGTGTGCCTCTGCTTCCAAGCACACCTGTTACCATTTACTCATCACCTTCACAGTGTACTCATTTGTGTTTTATAGTTGTTAAAGACTCTGCTAAGACCCTGAACATACCTCTTTGTGGGTCCTTCTACAAACACCTACCTGGCTCTTCATTAATGCTGTTTTGAATTGTGGCTTTTCGAAAATATTCTAGGATTTAAGGAAAAATAATTCATATGTGCAATTAATTACTGACTGACACACTTATAGCTGTGGTAAAAAAAAGTTATCTGCTTTAGTTCAGACGTTTTATGTATAAATATTAAAAAGGATGATAAGTGTCTCACCAGTGAAGAGCTTTGGTTCGCAACCAGCAGCCCAGCTTCACAGTCATGATGGAAACTTGGAACAGCCACAGCTAAAAGAAGAAGAAAGCGGTTTATTTTGAAAACGTCCAGTTGACGCAGACTGCGACACCGGAAGTTCCGCATTACGACTGCGGATGAAGCGTTGCAGGAAAGAAGGCTAACGCTAATGTTTGCTAACTGATTAGCAAGGCAGGTGAGTGAGTTTAACCCAGGGAAATCCTCCGAGTTTAGCTGGCCGGTTAATATGTGTTTTAACTGTTGAAGCAAAATGATCGGAACCGGCGAGCTGTCATTCTGTTCGGCTCGTTTGGACCTCGTCAGTCTAGCAAGCTAACCTTTTGTAGCCGGAAACCCACCCGGATAGCGTTTGTTTATGTTAGCTTTGCGGGGCCTTTTTTAAGTGCCGCTGTGAACAAAAATACGTGGCAAGTTGTTAAATTGTACATAAGCCACTAAATGGGTGGTAGCAATTGAATATGTAATGTGACAAGTTTAACTAGTAATGATCTTTTCGAGGTTTAATGCCAGTTAGCTCTACGGTAGGGGGCATTTTCTGCTCGGTGATTTACACCAATAATACACGTATCAACAGCTTGAAGCTCGTCCAAAATTAAAGTAGTCAAACGAATAAGACACACGGGAAGTCCACACATAGTCACACAGTCACGTTTTGTATTTATCTGGTGATTTCATCTCGTCTTTGTGTGCTTGATTCATTGGTAAACACCAGGCCGCTGCTATGTTAGCAGAGGCCATACTTTAACCTGGGAGGCACCAAATGGTTAAAGGGAAACCTTAAAAGGACATGCTGTCAGAGTACTTTAATACGGTTTTGTGTCCCAGATTCAAAGGTTGAGGGAGTTGTGACATAAAAATGGGTTGTTAAACCACATATCTATATATACAAGTTAAATTAATTACTTTTTTTTATATATATGTATATGTTTTGTTTCAATTATGGCACAAATTTATCATGAAAATCAAAGTTATTAAGTTCATATCAGTCTGTTTTGTCAGCCTATCATAGGTTTTGACACTTGTCATCATAAATGAATGTAGTCTTTGCTTTCATATTTAGTTTTATGAACTTTACCGTTTTTAAAATTGTCACTTTAAAAAAAAATGTTATGAGGTAATTTCAAATGTCTAATTTAAGGCTTAACATTCCACAGAATGAATATCACCTGTCGCCTTTCATGTCACATTTTGTATTGAGAAATTACAAAGTTGTACACGTTCCAGTCTGATGTTGAAAATACTGTGATGTGCAGCCTCATGTAGTAATGTCAGGTTTTGTGTTTACAATCTGTTACCACTCATGTGCTGCTGGGAATGACTCTCAGCTACTACCACAACAATGTTAGCTCAGTGTTTGTAAAAATGACTGAGTTAAAGCCATTGTTTGTGTTTAAGGTTAATTAGCTTTGTTAGCCATCTTGTCTCCATAATTTAATTAGTTGTAGTTGTATATCTTGTGGTTACTTTGAGAGTTTCATTAAAATTTGTTGGTTCATCAAATATTTTACTGACACAACAGACAAATGCATAAGCAAAAACATAACTGCCAAAGGGATTATTATTGTTATTATTATTATTATTGATGTTATGGATTTATACTTGAATCTGTTTTTAAATCGTTAAAACTCTTAAAGTGAATTTAAAAAAGTTCACAGTAAATTTTTAAATTGAAAGCTGATTGGTTGAGTTTTATCTTTGAGATGAGCAGCAGGAGTCACTAAATTCAAATTTATTTGTTCAGTTGTTTTACTTTATTTTTATTTTTTTCAAATTTCAACTGAAGCTTTTATTGTTTTTGTGTGTGTGTGTGTTCCAGTCTGAATCATGGAACAGTGTGCGTGTGTGGAGCGGGAGCTGGAGAAAGTGCTCCATCGCTTCGTCATGTACGGCCACCAGTCTGAGGAGAGGCTAGACGAACTTCTGCGAAGTGTCTGTGAAATAAGAGGACAGCTAGTTGCTTTTGGTAAGAACTCACACAAGGGTGAGCACATTGAAAACTTGGTAGTTCAGTAAATTATGCTTCATGATTTGTCCTTAATCATGAATGATTTTGTGGATGTGCATAGTGATCTTTTTTCCCTGTCTTTCAGGAGTGCAGGATGCAGACTTGTCAGTCCTGTCTCAAACTATGGCTCAGTGTTGTAAGAATATCAAAGAAACTGTACAGATGCTCGCTTCTCGACATAAAGACATCCATGGCAGCGTATCAAAAGTGGGCAAAGCCATTGACAGGGTAAGGACAGAGAGCAACAATCTTAAATAGATTAAGTTTGACATGCACGTGGTTCACCTCGGGGGTATTTTCCTGTAGAATTTTGATGCGGAGATCAGCGCTGTGGTGGCAGAAACAGTGTGGGACACCCCAGAGAGACAGAAGTACCTGAGTGAATCTATTGTGGAGCATTTGTACAGGCAAGGAATGCTTAGTGTGGCAGAGGACCTCTGTCAGGTGAGTGATTATTTACTTTGATTATTTTGCAATCTGGACATGTCAGATCACAGTAAGTTAATGAATTTTGTGAGCTGCTTGCAGTGTAAGCTCATCAATGTCTAAGGCAGGGCTATTCAACTGGTGACCAGTGGGCCAGAAGTGGCCTGCGGCTGATTTAAGTCTGGCCCGCCGAAGAGTTCATTAATAAAAAGAAATTAAAAAAAATAAAATAAAAAATTGGAACAATCTGTAAGAGAGACCTTTAATATTTTTTGTAATGGCAAATATTTCAGTTAGAGAGTCAGTCCTGTTATGCGCCCATCTCAATTTTCACAAGCATGCAGACTTTTAAGAAGAGCCCCCTCCCCACTGTAAGCGTTAATTTACACAACGCCAGGCCAGACATCATTCTGACTATTGTTCAGTAAATATACTCACTGTTTAATCACTCAGTGCTTTCCCTGCTTATACATACCAGGAAGAACCTTTTGACTCATGGAGTCAGTTTACAGCCAATAACAGACTTCAACATAAATGCCAAAACTGAACAGGACATGAACAAGAACAACCCATGTCCACACTCGGAAACATCGTAAACAGTCAAACATTGCACACGCAATTTCCACAAGGCTACCCAGCATGCTTTGCAGCTCAGTCTCTCTGGGGCTCACAGATGAGTTTGGTTAAAATAAAGTCAAACTGAGACAACTTTGCGTTAATCTGGGGCCTACAAATATCCATGTTTTGGTGTTTAATAATGTTTAATTATAAAGAGTTAAATTGACAGAAACACGAGTCAAGGCTGCGTGCTCTAGCAGGGAACGCTCTTTTCTCTCCCGCCATGAGGGGAGTGCTGATAAACTGATCATATCAGTGTGTGATCGCCTGCAAGCCAGATTAAACGACCACAGATTTATCAATGGGGGAATATTGATGATGCACAGCAGCTTTGTAGTTAGTTTAAACCACAGGTAGGATGGATTAAGTGAGTTAATTCATTATAGTAAATGACACGGAGACATTTGAAACGCATCACGCTCACTTTGACCCAACATGCATAACCACATCTACCAGTAGAGGTTTATTTACTGCCCATTACTGTGTATGCAGGGGTAGGACAGTTAGTGGTCAATATGATGCATTTAAAATGTTTACATGCACTTTAATAAACTTAATCAATTTTTAAATGTGCATAAACTGATTTTATTAAACACTTTTTTTAAATGATGTTGATAAATCGTTGATGTCAGTAATTTGTAATCTGGCATGTAAGAGGTCACCTTAATAAAGCTCCTTGAAAGTTCAATGTGTCAGCATCCAGGTCTTGTTCCTCAGCATTGTCAAATATCCATCAGTAAATAAATACAGCAAAACATTCAGCTGATGTTTTGTTGTTTCCAGTAGTTTTTAACTCCATTAACATGATTCCGTTTTATTTTTCAGGAGTCTGGTGTAGTGATTGATATGAGTATGAAGCAGCCTTTTCTTGAACTCAACAGGATTCTTGAAGCTCTGAGGATGCAAGATCTCAGACCGGCTCTAGAGTATGTATTTATGTTTTTTCTTACACAAACTGATTTTTGTTTGTTTCTGACATGAAAGAGGCTTATGCAGTTCTCTGATCAAGTCAAAACCTTTAAAGTCTTTATTTCTGGTGTGTTTTCATCTAGTACTTGTTAGTAATTTTCATGTATCTGAACCTTCTTAGGTGGGCCGTCACGAATCGCCAGCGCCTGCTGGAACTGAACAGCAGCTTAGAGTTCAAGTTGCACCGTTTGTACTTCATAAGTCTGCTCGGTGGCGGAATCGGCAACCAAATGGAGGCTCTGCAGTATGCCAGGCACTTCCAGCCCTTCGCCTCTCAGCACCAGAGAGGTGCCTAATACAAACCCTGGCAGGAAATATAAAGTCAAAGCTCTGTGACGATGTTCAGTCGGCTGTTTTAATACATGGAAAAATTAATTTACTGAGACAAAATAGAAATTTTCACTTGAGCCCAGGAAAATCTGAAAACAAAGTGCCTTGAAGGTCAAAAAGGAGCTGGTGTTTTAGACATAAAAGTAAAACAGTTGATAAAATATGAGATGCATGAAGTGAAAAAACAAAAAGGTGGCAATTGATGCTTAAAAAGTAGAAAACGTTCCTAAATAAAAAGTAATATTTAGTGATTAATCATCATTCCTTGGGACAGGATTGTAACAAACACACTAAATGTAAAAAAGGCAAATTTCTTCAGTTTTTGAGGATATCTGCATTCATGTGAGGACCAAGTGAACCAGAGATCTGTAGCTGTACGGTGAATGCACCAAAATATTGAACATCTTTTTCATTCCAATAGTTGAAAGATTTAGGATGATCTGGTCATTTTTTTTCTATACTAAAAGTGATGCTTGTCCAAAAAAGAAGTTTCAAAGCGTTTTGTTAATGTGGCCGTCAAACAGTTTAAACTTTGACAAAGTTTAATCTTTTAAAATGTATCTGTTTTTATGAGCAAAATGAAATGAATTAAAGATTAAAGGTCACAAAAAAGAGATGCAACTAAATATGATTGCTTGTTTGTGAAAAATCACCCTAATCAGTACTGCAGGTTAGAAGTTATTCACTTATAAAGGAGGAAGAAGAAAAAACCCTCCTGTAACAAATATAATAGTTGTTGTTTATTTGACATGTTTACAGATATCCAGATCTTGATGGGCAGTCTGGTGTATCTTCGTCACGGCATCGAGAACTCTCCGTATCGCAGTCTGCTGGAGACGAATCAGTGGGCTGAGATCTGTAACATCTTCACCAGGGATGCCTGCGCTCTGCTGGGTCTCTCTGTGGAGTCTCCACTGAGTGTCAGGTGAGAGGAACAGACAGGACAACAGGCTTCACGTCAGATTATTTAATTGTTAAACCCTTTTTATAACCAGATTGGAGTCTGGAATAAACACGTAGTTAAGGTTTCATCATTCTTGTGTAAATGGATTAATTTAGTGCGATTGTGTTTTAAAGTACTACAAAGCCAAGCTCTGTGAACACGACTAATGTTGGGGCTGTTTCAGTTTTGCGTCAGGCTGCATGGCCTTGCCGGTACTGATGAACATCAAACAGGTGATTGAGCAGAGACAGTGCAGTGGAGTCTGGACACACAAGGACGAGCTGCCTGTAAGTTCTGTTCCAGTTTTTAAGAAGTCACTTCCTTCTGTCTGGACCTTCACTCATCTCGCTCTGTGTACGTTTAGATTGAAATTGACCTCGGCAAAAAGTGCTGGTACCACTCTGTGTTCGCCTGTCCCATTCTGCGGCAGCAGACCTCCGAGAGTAACCCTCCCATGAAGCTCATCTGTGGCCACGTCATCTCCAGAGATGCACTCAACAAACTCACCAATGCTGGGAAGTAAGTCTGCAAAGTAACGGCCCGGGCCAGTTCTAAATGGATTAGTTTTAAGGTGTTTGGTTTTGGATCTTCCAGGATCAAAATAAGTTCTAGTTGTGGCTTTAATGTTGAAGTATCCTTAACTATTGCACCTACTGTATTTTCTGCCGTAAAAGTCGCATCAGTCCAAAAATGTCTAATAAAGTGGAAAAAAAAACATAAATATGTCGCTTCGCTGTATAAGTCACATCTATTATGCGTCACCACTGACAACCCAGAAACGTGGTCCAGTGTTGTGCCAAAATTCGGTTGGCTGCCAAATGGTGGCTGCAGGAGCACGCACGGGAGGACTTTAACAAGAATTTAACATTAACACTTAAAAACAATTATTTGTTTGCTCGGAATTATAGTAAAGTTGTGTCTCAGTTGAAATTTTCCTTAATAAATGCACTTTAACGGTCAAATCAGCTGCATTTCAAAAGTATTAGCTGCCTCGGTGCCCTGGGAGCACGCAGACAGGGAGGAAATCCAGAAGGAGGAACGCTGTGCATTTCTTCGAAATTTAACAAGATGAGCACCTAAAACAATTACTTGTTTGCTCGACATTATAGTAAAGTTGTGTCTCAGTCTTAACTTTTACTTAATAAATGCACTTCAATGGTCAAATCAGCTGCATTTCGCCGAGGCAATGCAGCGAAATGAAGCTGATTTGACTCCAGGCATGATTCTGGAGCTGGACGAAGGTAGCAGGCTATAGCAAGCCAATTGGGTCATTAATAACTTTTTGCCTATTACATGACACAACAGCATGCCAACAGGGCCATCTAGAGGCTGAAAATGGTAATGTTCAATATTTTCAGTCCGAATGAATAAAAACGGTCATATCTCCACCAAAATTTGGTTTATAAATATGAGAAAAATCCATAAATAAGTTGCTTCGGTGTACAAGTTGCAGGCCATGCAAATTATGCAAAAAAACCTGTGACTTATGGGCCGGAAAATACAGTAATTTAGGACACAGACATAACCTGATCATCTTGCTCTCATCTCACCTTCAGGTTGAAATGTCCCTACTGCCCCATGGAGCAGAACCCGTCACATGCCAAGCAGATCTACTTTTGATACCGCACTGCTCGTCTCGTCAAGGATGAAGTTACCTGGAGCTCCTTGGATATCCAGGACCCTTTGCTCTGGCCCCTGTCCTCGATCCTTGGCCTCTTGGCCTGTTTATTTTAAGCATTAAGGTTTCGCCCCAGTGTTCCTCTGGACCACCTCAGCCGTCTGGAAACTCACCTCGGACCATTAAACTTTGCATAATACACAAAGTCCAGCGAGGTTGGTTGAACCTGTCGTAGAGAAGAGTCTGTCGGGTCATCCCTGTGAAGAAGCACCTCGGAGAAAAGATCACTCGTTGAAATTTATTTGCCAATGCCTGCAGAGTTATAGGCTTGTCTTTGAAAAGTATCTAATACTTTCTACTGATTTTTGAGGGGCTTTGACTGTTTTGACTTGGATGACTGCTCTGTTTTGTTTTTTCTCTTCTTTTTTTGTCTTTGAGTAAATGGTATAGATATAGGCAGACTGACTTCAGGATGGTAATCTTGTGTTTCTTACGAGAACCCACTGAGTCCCATGAAAGCCTCTTCTTTTCTGCTGAAGGGAAGTTAAAGTGTGGAGGTTTGTCTTGATTTAAACTCTAGATCGGGACCTGTTTCCTCTCTGTGGCGTACTCGAGGCCTCTCGTAGCTTGGAAGTCCCCGTCGACTGCTGCCTCCGTTTGGTCAGAATGAATTTATCAGTGGTGGAACAGCTTTTTTTTTTTTTTTTTTTTCCTGTGATTGAATGCACCAGCAGGATTCTTATTGAAGCCATTTGTCTTGTTTTGTGTGTGTTCTTAATGAAAGTGACAAAAAAAAGCAAACGAAATATACAGCTTACTACTGCAAAACGTGTTGCTTTCCTGTTATTTCTTTTATTTTTATTACAACCGCCCCCGTGTAAAATAGCTAACTGCCCAGCATCGAACCTTATCGACTCTGTTGCATAACTCAAACATGTATTGACTCAGATTTTCCCCACACTTGTGCCATCGCTTCAGCCTGTGTATCCTGAGCTAGCGCTCCGTGTGAATCAGATGTAAATTGGTGTGGCTGTAGCCTTATCATGTGACTTGCGGTGACTGTGAAGTTTTACTTGTGGATGGGTTCTGATCGTTGTGGCTAATGGTTCATATCTAAGGTTTTAATTTGAGGTCGGGTTAGACCAATAAAGTTGACGCATTTCCTCAGGGTTCATGGGAAACACTTAACACTACATTTAATTTTAAAGCTGTACATTTATATAAGGAGGCCTGAACAAATGTCTCGCATCGCGTCTTTTGCTACTGAGGCTAATAGTTGTGGGAGTTCACTGGAGTTTGTACATATTCAGTTTTCCATGCAACGTGGCGTGAAGGCAGTTCGATGTGCGCTCGATCTGATGGTGAAAGTTCCTGCTGTCCTTCAGCACAGCTCATCCTGACAATGCAACATTAAACCCAGGTTTAAGCTAAACATTTCAACTTTTGTTTCCTGTTTAAATTCATCTATTACTCATCTACTTCCCTTTTGTCCCCTCTTTGGTTGACAATCATTCACTGATCCTTCAGATAGACTGCAAGCTCTTCGTACTCCTGTCTTAATTTTAGCTACATGGTTTTGTGTGTTAAACAACTTCTATTGTAAATATTTATCCTCCTAACATGTTTCATATACTTGCATCTGATATTAAAATAATAAAACCTATACTCTGATCAGTTCTGAAGGCTTGGTCTGGCATTTTGTGAAGGACTCTGCCTTTCTTAAGAGTTTTTATCACAATTGGTTGCTCTCTGCTTTTTGAGAACTGACCACAGCGTCTCTATGGAGGTAAAGATCTTTGCAGGTTCTTGGTCCCAAGTTTAAAAGAACTCTACGATCTTAACTTTTGAGTTACTTCTTGTGCTTCATCGGACTGTAAAATCCACCAAACAGTCTGGGTCGATGAGGAAGTTGCTTTTGTAAGATATGTTGACATCGATCTGTTCTTGGCTGTAAACCCCCTCCCTATGAAACACAACCAGTTGTATCAGGATGTTGGCACCACACTTATCTTATTTTCTCCACCGAAACAAACGTATCCCTAAAAATCAGGCGGGTTCATCACAAGCAAATCTGTGTCCACTTGAAATCCTGCAGCATTTCAATTTGTTGCTGCTATATTTTGGTCCTAACGTCTCTCTCACCGTGCAGCCAGGTGCTCTCACACACCTGCTGCCAGGAACGAGTCTCTGATTTCTGGATTGTTTTGAACTGAACCTCCCACCTCGATTATCATAATGATCCAGAAAACGGTCCCCAAAATGTTTTCTGAACTGAATTAGTTTTAATAAAACCTGAAGATTAGATAATCTACAGCTCCTTTTTGGGGTCATCCTGATTCAAGATGGCCGCCACAGCCAATTGACATTAAAGAATGTCTTTAATTCAGGTGCTCTTACAGACATTGAGTTGTGGCAGTAGATGAGTCGGTCACAACACATACTTAGCGCAATATCTTGCAATATTTATTGCAAAACTTTATTATTAAGGTTTGACCAAAACGGCTACAACTATTTCTCAACAGATTATAATCTTAGTCTAAAACTCTGGCATGCAAGGCGGCGGCGGAACATGTACCTTTCTTTAAATAACTAGGCTCTAAAATTATACTTTGTTGTTTTTTTTTAAAGAGAATGTTGAAAGCTGCTGATGCTCTCTACAAATAATTCACATTTAGTCACAAAAACTGCTGTAAAATCATTTTAGTGATCAAAACTTTTACCCCCAGCCTTACACGTGCACAGTTTGATCACCACTTGGTGGCATCAGTGCTGCGTTTGAGTTGCACTAGTGTTTTAATGTATAAATGATTCAAACAGTCTGAGCATCACTCTTCAGATAAACAGCAGTGATGGTGGTCGGTGCAGCCACACTCCCACAGAGTGAGGACATGAGGGTGATTTTTTTATTTTTTTTATTTTTTTCTTCATCCCACTTCAGTAAATCACTCAGCCTCTCTGGGGCTGAGCACTTCTATTAATCCCCGGTTTATGTAATGTTTCTAAAGCCAGAGGGAAAGACGTGTGAGTCAGCCGTATCTATTCTGATTGTGATCCTGCAGAAAACAACTTGCAGATGCACTCGTTTTAGCAGTATGTTTTTTTTTACTCCCACTTTTATGTTCTTTTACACATTTGTATCAAAAGCTGGTAAAACTTTATTTATTCCAACAATTCCTTGGTACTGAAATTTAACTAGTTTTGGAATTTAAGTGTAGTTCTTAAGTAAAGATTTTTTATTTTTTTTCATTTGTGTTGACCTTTCTGGAGAAGACTGAAGTTCTTGCTCATTACTCCAGGTATAAATCCAACAATGTTCGGTCAGGTCATGTGGTCGATTTTATTTTGTTGCCGAGACGTTTCGTCCTTCATGGAGAAGATGGCGGTTAATATCTAAAAGCTACAAGTCTTAACAGGTCTCTCTTGTAAATGAGTCCTTGTGACTCTAGCCTGTATAAATACAGGTGCTGGTCATAGAATAAGAATATCATGAAAAAGTTTATTTATTTCACTAATTCCATTTAAAAAGTGAAACTTATGTATTATATTAATTCATTACACACAGACTTGCATACTTCAAATGTTTATTTCTTAACGTTGATGATTATAACGGATAACTAATGAAAACTCCAAATTCAGTATCTCAGAAAATTAGAATATTAAGACCGATTTAAAGGATTTTTAGAAATGTTGGCCAACTGAAAAGTATGAGCATGAAAAGTATGAGCATGAACATCACTCAGTACTTGGTTGGGGCTCCTTTTGTCTGGATTAGTGCATCAATGTGGTGTGGCATGGAGTTAATCAGTCCGTGGTACTGCTCAGGTGTGATGAGAGCCCAGGTTGCTCTGATAGTGGCCTTCAGCTCTTCTGAATTGTTGGGTCTGGTGTATCACATCTTCCTCTTCACAATACACCATAGATTTTTTTATGGGGTTAAAGTCAGGTGAGTTTGCTGGCCAATTAAGAACAGGGATACCATGGTCCTTAAACCAGGTACTGGTAGGCACTGTGTGCAGGTGCCAAGTCCTGTTGGAAAATGAAATCTGCATCTCCATAAAGTTGGTCAGCAGCAGGAAGCATGAAATGCTCTAAAACTTCCTGGTAGATGGCCGTGTTGACCTTGGACCTCAGAAAACACAGTGAACCAACACCAGCAGATGACATGGCACCTCAAACCATCACTGACTGTGGAAACTTGACACTGGACCTCAAGCAACATGGATTCTGTGCCTCTCCTCTCTTCTTCCAGACTCTGGGACCTTGATTTCCAAAGGAAATGCAAAATTTACTTTCATCAGAGAACATAACTTTGGATCACTCAGCTGCAGTTCCAGGCGAGACGCTTGATCAAGAGTGGCTTGACACAAGGAATGTGACAGCAGAAACCCATGTCTTGCATATGTCTGTGAGTGGTGGTTCTTGAAGCACTGACTCCAGCTGCAGTCCACTTTTTGTGAATCTCCCCCACATTTTGGAATGGGTTTTGTTTCACAATCCTCTCCAGGGTGCGATTTTCCCTTTTGCTTGTACACTTTTTTTTTCTACCACATCATTTCCTTCCCTTCGCCTCTCTTAATGTGCTTGGACACAGAGCTCTGTGAACAGCCAGCCTCTTCAGCAATGGCCTTTTGTGTTTTGCCCTCCTTGTGCAATGTGTCAATGGTCATCTTTTGGACAACTGTCAAGTCAGCAGTCTTCCCCATCATTGTGTAGCCTACAAAATTACTGAGACCATTTAAAGGCCTTTGCAGGTGTTTTGAGTTATTTAGCTGATTAGAGTGTGGCACCAGGCGTCTTCAGAACTGAACCTTTTCACAATATTCTAATTTTTTGAGATACTCAATTTGGGTTTTTCATTAGATGTCAGTTATAATCATCAACATTAAAATAATAAAATAAACATTTGATCAGTCTGAGTGTAATGAATAGATATACAAGTTTCACTTTTTGAATGGAATTACTGAAACAAATTAACTTTTTCATGATGTTCTAATTTTATGACCAGCACCTGTAAAGATTGAATGAATATACTCCTACCAGACACCATGGATGATAAAAAGACAGAGCTTACGCTGTACATGTTTTTTTTATTTCAATCGGTCGGTCTGTTCAAAGATATGCAGGGAGAGCTGTTTAAACGCTCACATGTTAATCAATACATTAAGTGGTTTTCCACCCACGTCATGCAACCACTTTTTGCATCAAACTGCACCAGTAAGCAGGAATCATTTGCAGCTACTGATCACTTTCATTGGGATTTAAAATACGTGGAAGTACACAGATGTGAAATACAACCTCAAAAGCTCAATAGAATAAAACTTTTGTACAATATATGAGGATCTTGTCTAAAGAAGACGTGACGAGTGGGAAAAGTTGACACTTCCAGTAAAGGGGTGAATTCAGCTCTTTTGAAGTGGAAAGGTTATGAGCAATCAGTGTTTTACCTGTTGCAGATGGCTCTTTGACCAAACTGACAAGCTAACGGTAGTCTGAGCATGTTAGAGACAGCTTTTGTTTTCTCAGATATTTATATCCCAAATTTTAAATTGGTTCACGCAAAGGCTATGTTACAATTTATTCTGCGTAGCAAAAATATTTAGTTAAAATTCACAGGTTATTTGCCGTAGCAGCAACATTCAGCTAGCTGTAACATTTCCAACACATATTAGTGTTTCTGCCAGATGAACTATGTAGTTTGAAACTAATTTAAAACCTCATGAATTATAGAGTTATTCTCATACTCCCAGGCTGCTCTGGAAAGACTATCTGCACTTTGGACAACCACAGATTTTATGAACATTACTGCATAATTTAAAATGTACAGACATGTAAAAGTGTTCACTTATGATGGTTTAAAGACATCTGTTCGCTTGTCAGTCTGGTTAGATTTAAACTGTTGAACTAAGGTTGTTCAAAGCTCCATCTACAACAGGTAAGATATTTATTGTTCATAACTATTCTATAGAACCCCAGCTCCAAAAGAACTGAACTATTGCTTTAAGTACACACAGTTCTCTCAGTGAAAGATGTAGCATCGTGTACAGAGGCAATACACAGCAATTATTGTTCATATTTATGTTTACATGTTGACGGGCTCAGCTGAAACCTCCGTGTTCTTCTTTCTGCAGACGAACAGTTTCCAGGTTGTTCTTGGACACCACTAAATGCATTTAAATGCTTTGGTTACGGTGAGGACGTGACATCAGTCCAAATAGAGAAAACATTTGCAGTCATCAGTTTGTGTACAGAAGATTTCAGTAGGGCAGTTTAGGTGGTTATTTTACAAAATTTTATGTTCTTCTGCAAAGGTGGAATTGAGATGGACTCGGCGGTGGTCAGGAGGGTCCTGTACGTCCGGTCTGTACAGGATGGGGGCTTCATAAATCCAACAGAAGTGAACAAGAGATTAGAGAGCAGATTATGGAAGCATTTACTACTAGGAGAAGAAAAAAAATGAATAAAAGGAACTTTTTAACATTTAATGCTTCTTACTTCTAACTGTACATTAAGCTTTTGGTCTTTTCCTTTTTTAATTGGCTTTGAATTATCAAAGATAAGTTGTAGTTTGGATAAACTGTTGCATGTTTTTCTTGTCAAGAAAAGATCACACACTATCAGAAGTGGTTAAAAAAATACAGATATGACTGGCATCGATTGTTTTTCCAATATTTTTGCCAAAGTAAACTTTTTATTCTGTGTATTCATATTTTTATTTCATATATTTACCACTTTGCAATTTAGAGATTTATAAGGTTTATTTAGTCTTTTCCTGTCTGAAATACTCTTCCGTATACAGTAGCTCTTCCATTTAGTGGGGAGAGGTTTGCATTGCAAACAAGTGTCTCATTCAAATTTCTGATGATTCGATCCTCTCTATCCACGGCAGCATTGATGAAGGCGTGTCCTCGAGGTCTTCACCTGCTCTCACAGCCTTCAGCTCAGGTGTGTCCCTTTCCAGCATCCCATCTCCGCCCCCTCCCTCTCCTTTGCCTGCCCTCAGCTGATGCAGCTCCCTCTCCAGCGCCTCGTTGCGGTGGTACATCTCCAAGTAGCTGGCCTGCAGCTCCTTCTGGTAGCGGATGACCTTGTCCTTCTCCATCTGCCACGTGTGCCGCTCCTCCTCGAAAGCCGAGGCCTGGGCTTCGCTCTGTCGTCGCTCCAGGAGCAGCTCCGCACGCAGACGCTCCTCTGTGGAGCCTCCTGCAAGGAAAACAGTTTTAATAGATTTAGCTGCAGTCTAGAGTACAGGTGGACAAGAAGCCTTTCCATTTTGATCTAGTTATTGGGACCCTGATGTGGGTGGTGAATCACCAAGTGGGGATGGTTTCGGCAATGTCTTAAAAAAACGATATCTACTTTAGAAACAATTACACAAAGAACATTTAATCTCCCATGTTACAAAGGAGACAAAACAGCAGTCATGATTGGATTAAAAATGTTTAACAAGGCTCTTTTATCAAGCTGTGTTTGTATTTTAACCAGCAATACAGTCATGAGTTCCTTTTGTTGGTCGGAAGCTGAAACGTTTGTGAACCCACTGGTCTAGAGCAGCTCTAGGAGGAAACGTAACGAAAGACACTGGCTTTGACCAACTGACAAGAGCCCAGATACCTGTTACTCCTCCAGTCGATGGATTCTCTTCGGCTTCTTTTCCGTTCTCACGTGGACCTGGAGAGGAGAACCTTTCACGCTGTGTCCCCTGCAGCATGAGCTGTAGAGCATCGATCTGAGAGTCTCGGCTGCGCAGCGCCGCTCTGGTTTCTCTGAGCTGCGTCTTCAGCTTGAAGATCTCGCTCAGCTTCTGGGTCACCTCTGCCTGGGAGTCTCTCAGCTGCTGCTTCAGCAACGAGATCTCCCCTGATTTCTGACAAACCTGGGACAGAAACAATATTTTTTGGACTATTCTCACTCCGTGGGACTATTTTCACACTCTGAACAGGAAAAACAAGAAGGAAACTGAGTTATCTTGTTTTTTCACGACTGAAGGCCTCACCTCCCACTGCGTCTCCTCCAGAGTGGGACTCGTTACTTTTGGCATGGCTGAAGCCTCTCGGCTCATTTCCCTCTTCAGGCCGTCGAGCTCCTCCTGCAGTCGATTCTTCTCCTGCTCGGCCTTAAACAGCTGCAGCTGGAAGCTGCGCTGCGAGCGCTGAGCATGCTGGGTGACCTGGCGCAGCTTCGCAGCATACAGGCACTTCAGCTCCTCCACCTCCTTCTCCCACAGACGCTGTTTCCCTTCGAACACCTGCACGGGAACAGGTAAAGGGTGAGACTTCAACAGAGAGGGACGTGCAGACTGACAGCGGGGAACGGAGATTCACCTGAGCGATGGCGCCCTCGCTCTCGTCCAGGTTCCGCTTCATCTGGTTCAGTTCATGCTCCTTCTCCACCAGGCGCTCCTCCAGATCCCTCACCTGGAACAAATCGAAAAATGACCTGCTGACCTGCTCGCCATCCCATCTGTTCATCCGTTCATCTGACACTCACCACGTCCTCCACAGAGAGGGACAGCGTCCATTCGTAAGGAGGTGGAGCCTCTCCGTATGGAGTCAGGCGGCTCAGAGTGGCCATGCTTCGACACGCCATCTCCCCTATGGCCACGCCTCCTGAGCCCACGGCCTTCAGGGTCTGAGACTTTCGGTCCAGAGAGCCGATGGTGTTGATCTGGCCCATCGATGCACTAGAGTGAAATCAAGCAATAAAAAGTCTCTTCTAGTTTAACAATGTTGTTAGAAAAAAAACACCCTTATAGCAGCACTGATCATAAAGAGCAGTTGAGACCAGACCTGATGTGAGCCAGATGTGGGCGGAAGGGAGGGCGGTACGGCGGCAGGCTGCTCATGGAGTTATGGCCCGAGTCCGACAGGTTATCATCCTCCTGGCTCATTACACGTGCCGATGGGAGGGCCTGCACAGACATAAGTACACAGCTACTCAGGTGGAGAGGAGGCTAACTTTAACCTTGAAGAAGAACAAGCTGAAATTCAACAAAAAGTCGGTGCAGAAGTTACTGGAATATTTAATTTACGCAGGAAATCACTGGATCTAATTTGCCAGGCTCAACTTCCCGTCAGGTTTACAGAGCTTTGAAGACGTTTGCACATTCTTTTAACTTTCCCACATTTTTTAAACTTACAACCACAAACTTCAGAGTATTTACTGAGAAAAACACACTAAAAGGAATGAAAATTTGTGGAGTGGATAAAAAGTCATGCACACTTTTCAAATTTATTTAAAAATAAAATAATAATCTAAAAAATGTGGTGCACCTTTGCAACAAATTACCTTCAGAAGTCGTCTAATTAATAAATGGAGTCTGCCTATCCAGTAAAAAGCAGTTGTTCTGTGAAGGCCTAAGAAGTTTGTTAAAGAACATGATTGATCAAACAGCATCATGAAGACCAAGGAACATAGTAGACCAGTCAGGTATAAAACACTATCCCAAAATTTAAACACCCCACCGAGGAGTGGATTCAAAACGTGTAGTTAATAACTAGTCGAGCGCAGTTTAAAATATGTCAAGCTCTGAAAGTCACAATCCCGTGTTGTGATACCTGGTTTGCCCCGGGCGTTGGTCCTCCATGACGGGAGGGAGAGGAAGAAGACGACGAGGTGGAGAGCGTTTTGGGGACGTGGCCGTACGCTCTGTGCAGTCCGTTGGAAAGACTGCGATCCATATCCTCCGACTTGGAAGACGGATAGAGGTTCTGCATGGAGCTGAAGTTTTTAGGGGTGACGAGCTTGAAGGCAGAAGACCTGAAACGGATCTAAAACAGAAGCACCGAGGCCCGACATGGTTTACGGTTGTTAATCCCAGAATGGAAGGTGTGGAGAGAAAGGTGTCACTCACAACAATAAAGGCCGGGTTACACAACATGAATCACAAAGTTGCTATTAAATCGATGCTACTACCCCGTCTGTATTTCCAGTGTTGATGAATTCAAGCAGGAAACAGCTGATTCTTGATCGCTGCAATAAATTTAGAGCATGGCGAGTGACAGAATCCCAATCTGTGGTGGTGAGCTGGAAGAGCTGAGGCTGATTTATGCTGCTAACAGCCTGTAGGGGGGTTGCATCGTGCATATGGAGCTGTATGAATGTGATACCAATCATTTGTGCACAGCCCTATCAGCTTTTCAGTGGTTGTAGATCATTTAATAACAGGAACACAATGAGAGCTCATTCATCTGCATCCGTCCATGAATGAGAACTTCTGCTTGATAAAGTTTTATTTGATCTAAATCACTGGTGATAAAGCATATTTTAGGAGATTTATTTTATTCGTACACATTTGGCTCTAGAGGAAAAACAATTTAATAGAAAGTGATGATAAACGTACCTTTTCGTACTTCCCCCCACTCGGCAGTGAGTTTTTAGTCAGGTCGACTTCAGTGCCATTTTTAGCGTAGATTTTGGCGTAAACGTCGTCCTCCTCTTGGCCAACGATGACGTCCCTCTTGCCGTCAGCACTCGACCCTCCTTTTGGCACTTTTCTGTTTGGGAGCACAGGAGGTCAGAAGACGTCTGGTGAGATGTTCTACAAACACCAGCCTCTCTGTGGCTCTTCCCACCTGGTGATGTTGAGGTAGTTCAGTATCTCTCTTTGGGTCAGGCCTTTCTTCAGGAGGCCGTTGGTCTGTTTGGGTCTCACCTGGGGCACGGCACGGTTGCCTTTAGTCGGAGACACATCTGGCCTCTCCACCAGACTGCCTACACTGCCCATGCCGCAATGTGAAGAAAGAGGAGAGGCTGGGAAACAGCGGAAGTTCTGGCTGGGCCCGCGAGTCAGAGGAAGAGTCTGGACGGAGGCTGCCATTGATCACAGGCCGCTCCGAGGTGGTGAAGGGATCTGAAAAAATATAAGTGGGAAAAGAATGAGCAGATGGCAGAGATCAGAGCTTGCTTTAAATATATTTGTATAAACTTAGTGAGCTACAGTAAAGCTTTAATTTCTCAAACTCTGATGTGGAGCCTAACAGATTTAGAGCCCTGTGCTGTTTCTGCTGTACCACAGCCTGTAAGCACTTGTCCAAATGTCTTAAATCAATATATTGATTTCTTTTTAAAAAAGCATTGCTGTTGTGTTTTTTTAGTCATTTTTTTTAATCTAGTAGATTGCAAAGGATATAAATAATAAACTATTGTGGTTATGGTTCAAAAACAAAGAAAAGGTCATCGGTTGAAGAAAACCCACTATGGTTGTCATTTAATTAAGGAATTTAAATAGAAAAATTACATTTCTTGCACAAATGCAGAGTGAATGTTTATTGCTGAATGATTTTTGCTGAAACAGAAATAGACCTAAAACATAGAATGCTTAACAAAAGCATACATTTAGCAGAAAGAAGCTAGAAAGGTGCATAAAAGATTAAATTAGCAGAAAATAGCTTTAAAAAGAGCAAACAAACAAACAAGAAAAGCTGGAATGAGCATAAAGAAGCTGAAAGGAGCTGAACCAGAACAAAAACGGAGCTAGGCATTAAAAGGATTTAAACAGCTCAAAGGGTTTGAAGGAGGTGAAGAGAGGGCCATTCATTTTCAATTAGAAAAACCATGGCTGAAAAAGCTAAATACTGTATTTGAAAAAGCTTAAATTGCCCGAACACCAAAAGTCCAAGCTGAAGTGTCCTGAATGAGCCGAACATTTTCATACATGAATTTTTGAAATAGAGCAAAAATTGTTGAACGAGTTACGTGCCAGATAAAAGGAGCAAGAGCGTGAATGATTTATGAACATTTACACAATAATACAATAAGAACAGTTTTTAAAAAAAAACTTTTGACAACTCCTAACAAATATGTTATTTTGTTATGTAACAGAACATTACAATCATTAATAAGATCCTAATAACAATAATAATAATAGGTCAGCTCTTTCTGAGTTCTAATCTGTTCTTTAGTTTAACGTATTTAGCTCCAAACTGATTTATTAGTATAGATTATTAACAATAACGAAACTTGTATTTTCATACTTGAGTGACAATAAAAAGAAGTTTGTGAATTTCATGTCCTTGAGATCATTGTGGGTCTCAACTGATCTGACTTCGGGACCCATTATCAGCCCTTAATGACAAGCAGCGACCCAGATGTAGGACATGTTTCAACTTCTCGAAGTTGTTGGATGGAAAGATGGTTTCAACCTGAGATAGAATAGAATATTATAGTAACATAAAAATTATTATAAACCAAAACCACCAGCAAGAGGTGATGCTAGAGAGAGAAATATAGACTTTTATGTCCTCTTAGCTCCATATGCTCAGTGGTTAGCACTGTTGTCTCACAGCAAGAGGGTCATGGGTTCAATCCCCGGTTGGACCTGGGGTCTTTCTGTGTGGAGTTTGCATGTTCTTCTCGTGCTTGCGTGGGTTTTCTCCCGGTACTCCGGTTTCCTCCCACAGACCAAAAACATGCACGTTAGGCTGCCTTCAGGCCTCCCTTACAAAAGAGATCAGTGATCTCAGTGGGATTTGTCTGGTTAAATAAAGGTTAATAAATATAGTTTAAATAAAATAGTTACTTTCATAACTTCGGCTTTTTTTAATATCCTCGACACAAACACCCAACTAGAAAAGGGTTTTCAAAAACACTCAAAATATAGAGCTTAAAACGTTTCAGTCACTTATTCAGTCATTCACCAAGATCAATAATACAGTATAGTCACAATAATCAGAACCATGAATATTTTTTTACTCAACTTTCATTTTTTTTTCTCTCTAGCAAAGAAAGACCAGTGACCCTCCGAGAACAGGTTCATGACCCACTTTGACCGGGACCCACCAGTTCTTTGTTGTGGACGTAATTTGTTCTTTATTACAGACGATAATCCAATCCAAATCATGCAATTAATACGTTTTTAAGAATGATCACAAGAAAATATGTTAATAAAATACATAACAAGTTAATAGTTATGTTTTGTAACCTGATATAAATTTTCTAATACATCTGTGAACTTAAAAAAAACAAAACTCTGAAAACAACCTAGAAGATAAACTGATAAGTACTGTTTTTAAAGAACTTTCTTTAGTTTGTATTCTCTACTTAAACAAAACTAACAATCTTAGCTTGGAAGTTTTCAAACTATACCTTTCCTAAAAACTCCTCAGCCATGCAAGCACCTCGGGGTGGTTGTGTTTAGTCACACTGATGCTCCCTGTTGTCATGGTAACAAGGTGATGTAAGGTAACGTGTTTCCATTTGTTTTAAAGGCTCATAAATCTAAAGGGAAGTTTGAAGGATCAGTCTACTGATGATACTGATCCCAGATGAACCTGACAGATTTTATGACCATCATCTGATAGTTGAAAACAACTCTTACAATGAAAGAAAAGCAGGAATCTTTACCTCCCTCACTGAAAACACCACTCCATCTTTTAGTCCTTTATGTGTGGATGATAATGCCTGGAGGACAAAGGTGAGTCGACACGTTTCATCAGCTGCTCACAGAACAACTCAGCTTCTCACCGCACCACATAACAAACAAACACAACCAGACCTTCATGCAAATGGAGAGCAAGGAATGCAAAGTGACTTTGTGCAAACAGGCAGGACGTCAAATCATCCTTTACCAAACAATTGTTTCCCAAAGGCAAATCTGAAGAGTAACGTAAGGCCACCTCGAGCTGCCACCTGAGCAGCTTACAAACTTCTGATCCACCTGTTATTACAACTTGTTTTACTAGAAGGAAAGCAAACTCTGCACATAATAGACGTTTTCATGCAAATTACTTAGATTAAAGGAAAAATATATCTGTGGTAGATTACACAAGTAGTCTGGCATTGCTTAAATTTAATTTCAACAAAACTGAAATCTGTTTGAGTGATGGGAAGTTTTATAATTGTCTACTTTTTATAAATGAGCAAAGATTTTTTTTTTTTACTATTTTTTTAATCAAACTAAACCAGCTGCAAAGCCGTTCAAACACCCACCAAAGATCCCGAAGAGCCTCTTCATCTTTTCTTTGCATCACCCCTCTTCGCCGTCGTTCACCCACACGGCCTCTCTCCTTCCCTTCTTTTCAGACAACCTCATTAAGGTGCACTATTGATTTCACCCTTTTGACCCGCTCTGTTCCTGCACATAAACACATCCCTGAAGTCATAAAACATTCCAGAGATCATAAAACATGTGCATACCTCATCTACAACCAGGACCAGAGCCAGCTGAGCTGTAGACCAGAGAGGAGGGGTCACTTGTTTCAGCCCCTCCACCATGAACACACTCTACAGATTTCGCAGTTTGTTTTACACCGGATGCTCTTACTGATACAATGGGTTCGAACCTGCAGCCTCAGGATTACAAGACAGCAGCACTAACCACCGAGCTATCACAGCCTTCTTTGAAACTTTGTTAGGGGCATTAAGGGATAGAAGCAGCTAGAAGCTGCTTCCTGCAGGCCACTGATTATATTTTCCTTCCCTGTGAAAACAAAGTCTGCTTTGGCTTTCTGAAGTGGTCCATGGAGTTATCAGTGCTTAATATTGACTCTAATCTTAGTTTGGATTATCAGGTTGAATTCATCTGAACCAAGTCAAACTAACAGTTACTCTGGTGTGGATTCCTGTCTTCCTTAAATAATGCCAGAAGTTTTGTAGCTGTGAAGTTTGTCAGTTGGGTCAGAAGTAAACTTGTTTTGTTAAAACTGAGGTTGAACTGTCCTCAGCAGGTAAAATAATCTTTTCTCAAAAGTCTTTTCAGAAGCTTTGAACTGTTCCTTTAAAGAAGTGTAATAGATAGGATGTCCCTTTATTTCTTTCAGCCCTTGAAACGTATCTGGATGCAGCCGTCTGATGTGGTTTCTTGTGATACTTTTTATTTTGCACGTTTTGCAGTCGAAAAGTGCTCAGTGAACACTTAACTTAATCTAACTTTCATCTCAAAAATTCTAGAGGAAATAGTTGCAGGTCACTTATGTGATCATCTATCTGTTTGAAGAGTTTCAGTCAGGCGTTAGAGCTCATCATAGCACAGAAACAGCACTAGTAAAAGTCACTAATGATATTCTCATGGCCTCAGACAATGGACTTGTGTCTATACTGGTCCTGTTAGCCCTCAGTGCTGCATTTGATACAGTTGATCACAATATTTTACTACAGAGACTTGAATATGATATTTGGATTACAGAAACAGCTCTAAAATGGTTTAAATGATAGTTATCTGATAGATTCCAGTTTTTAAATGTAAATAATGAATTTTCTTAATACACCAAAGTTAGTAATGGAGTTCCTCAAGGTTCAGTGCTCGGACAAATACTCTTTACCTTGTACATGCTTCCTTTAGGTAAAGTTATTAAACAGCATAAATTTTCATTGTTATGCTGATGATACACAGTTATATTTGTCCATGAAACCCAATTAATCCAATCAGCTGCTTAGACTACAAGCATCTCTCAAAGACATAAAAACCCTGATGATCCTTAATTCTCTGCTTTTAAACTCAGGCAAAACTGAAGTTTTGGTTTTTGGACCTGAGCACCTTAAGATTTAAATTTTCAGTCTTTCTCCCTCCTTAGATGGCATTAATCTGGCCTCCAGTTCTAATGTTAAAAATATTGGTGTTATTTTTGATCAGGACATGTCTTTTATCCCCCACATTAAAAACATTACTAGAACTGCCTTCTTCCACCTGCGTAATATCGCTAAAATTAGAAATATCTTCTCTAAAAATGATGCAACAAACTGGTTCATACATTTGCCACGTCTAGACTGGACTATTGCAATGGTTTATCTGGGTGTCCAAAAACTGGTACTCCAGTCCCTCTCTTCTGAAAATCAACAAAACACAACCAACAGGAGGGTGGGCTTCAAGTGGGGGACTCAGACAGTTAGAATGAAAAAGTCAAGTCAATTTGA